AAATTAAAATATTAGTACTTAGCTGTATTGTATGTGTTATAAATTAAATAAATAATTATTTCGATATTTCGCTGATCAGCGTTATCAGGTATAATAAATAAAATAGTTACAAAAATCGTTATAGCAAAAACAAAAGATAACATTAAAAAGCCAAAATATAATACAGAAAAAAACTATTCAAATAACTGACGTCAGCAGATTTTATTAAAAAATGGCCCCTAGGTTTTGGTTGTTACGTTATCACCGCCACCCGATTGAGAACCACGTCACCATTTCTCAACTCCTGTTGAACCCCAGCCTTGCTTATTTCGAGTGATTTTCTCTGATTTAAATAATTATATATTAAAGAAAAAGTATATATATATTTAAAAAAAAAAAAATTATACGCAGCCATATTTATTGAATTCTAACCATATAAAATACACAGTATAAATAAATAAACAAATAAATAAATAAATATATATATATATATATATATATATATATATATATATATATATATATATATATATATATATATATATATATATATATATATATATATAAAATTAAAATTCAAAATATTTAATAAAATAAAATTAATGTATAACATTTATTAAAAACTCTTACTCCTTCCACCAGCAAGCGCTTATATAATTGTTATTTTTTATAATATACTAGTTTTGATATTATACTATATATAATATATAGTATAATATTAAAACTAGTATATTATAAAAATAAATAAAACTTAAGCGTTTGCTGGTCAAAAAAAGCAAGAGTTTTTAATAGAAGGTATATACTAATTTAATTTTGAATTTTCTGCTTCCAAAAGTATGCGTGATTTTAATTCCATTTTTATATTCATTCTTTTTAATTTTCAAATGTGTGATTGATGAAAATGCGTAATTAACGAAAGTTTTTTTTTATCGTCATGCGTATTTATAATATAAATGTTTATAAAATAAAAATTAAAAAATTATATAAATTAATTATTTTTTAATTTTAATTTTTATTTATACTGTGTTACCATTTTAAGGTATTGTTTTATAATTTATAATACTTAGGTTTATTAATTTTTAAAAGTCCTAGATAAGTTTTAACACAAAATTAAGTTAAAACGTGATTCAACTTAATTTTAAAGGTTCATTAAATTAATCATTTTTAAGTGTTTGATGAGTGCTTAAAAAGTATTTAATTGCGTTTGGGATCGTCCATAAATTAAGCAACGCAAAAATTATTTTGAGGACAGATATTAAGCTCTTTTACGCGGCGATTTCATTTAACTTAATTTCCTATTTTGATTATTTATTTAAATTAAGACTCAGAAAAGAAAAATTTTTGATCTTTTTTTGTTTTGTTTATTGCGAAATTTTACGTTACGTAATTTATGGACGATCCCTTAACGTTTTTTTTTCTATTCAATCCCTGGATTTCCCGGGGACAAATTTCTCAATCCCAAAATCCCGGGATTGAAAATTTCCAATATTTTTGCCATCCCTAATTGTAATTTTATTGGTTTAAAAAAAATGAGGGGGTATTACTTACGAAAACTCTTAAGTCATCAAACCGTCAAAAATTGTTTTAACTAGCGTTCAAAAATCAGCCACTGTGAGAAATGGGAAAAGTTCCAAGATTAAATGTATATATTTTCTATTACTCCATAGTACTATTCTTTCAATGCAAAAAAGAAAAAAAAAACATGGGGGTTAATACTTCATTGTTGAAATAATTCCATTACAAACAGTTATATTAAAAAAAAAATTCCGGCAGAATTACTCAATATATATTTTTTCTTTATCTTAATATGTTACCGTTTGAGTCAGTGACGTAAATGAGATGCTTTAGAATAATTTGACGTGACGTGACGTAAATGAGATGCTTTAGAATGATTTTGATGCTTTAGAAATGACATTTTTAGGCATTATCAAACTCCAAACACTTAATAAAATAGTTTAGAATGGATTGAAGAGACTTTGGGAAAACATTTTGTAAGATTGTGACAGGGATGTTGCATGGACCACAAGCCCTAGCAGAGTTTTAATGAGATATGACTTTAGCAACAGAAGCTGGAAAAGTTTTCTCATTTGACATAAACATGAACATATATGCTCATTTTTACGTCAAATGAGAGAGCTTTTTGTGCTTTGCAAAGAAAAGCGGTAATTAGTTTAGCTTAGTATAATTCACCGTTAAAAAATAATTCCAATGTACAAAAATATAAAAAAAAGTATATAAATGGCTGCAACATGAAGAAGACATAAATTAGCTTTATAACCGAGCCCCATCAGAAACGCTTTTTGAAGCATGGGGACAAAAATATTCGAAAGAGAAAAAGTTTAGAGGCTTGAAAGTGATATTTCAGAAGCATCAAAATATTCCATCTAATTCATAAATCAGTTTTCTTTTTTTTAGCATCGGTGTAGTATTTGGAGCATCCAAAAACCTTTATAATCATATTCAATTAAATACAGAACAATATTTTTACCGGTAGAGTCACTTTCTTCATAAATTTTAATAAATTTTTTAAATCTTCAGATATGTGATTTTCTGAAGATTATTATTATTGAATTATTGAATTATTTTTTTAAAATTTTTATTTAAAACATTTCAGATAAAATCCTCACTCTGCTGAAGCGAACCTTTTTCTAGCTCTTTTAAACCTTTTTTTTTCTGAGATTAGATATCTTTTTATTTTGAGAAAGGTTGATGAGGATTGCTTTTGTTTAGTTGTTACTTGTTAAGTAGTAGATGAAGCTACTTTAACCTTTTTTTTAGAAAGTAAAATTTCTTACGGCTTAAAATCAAAACTAGTTGTATGCTCAAATGAACTTTGGTATTGGTTTATCATTAAGGAAACAAAAACCTAATTAAAAAAGTAGTGATCGTTTTCTTATTTTATGTACCACTGCTTTACTAAAAATTGTTAGAGATTTATTTTCAGATATCGTCGCTGCAAAACATCTTAAGTCCATTTATGCTGTTCTGAGAAAAACGCATTTAAAGTTTTTAATTCATCACTGCGTTTGATCTTCTCCATTGCAGTAAACTAAATTACTGTAAATTACTACTAATTACTAAATTACTACCATTACTGTAAACTAAATTGTTTTTAAAATACTTATAGAATATGTTATTATTTTTCATAATATAACAAATAAAAAACAAAATTTTAAGTTTATAAGAAGCAACAAGTTTATAAGAAGCAATGGACTTAAGATAGTCTTAAAACTATATAAAACATGTCAAAATTCTACAAATTAAATTGCCGCTGCAAAACAAGACAATCTTAGGTCCGTTTTGATGTTCTGAGAAAAAGACATTTAAAGTTTTAAATTTAATCACTGCTTCTGATTTTTTTAAATACTACTACTTTTAAATCTACTTGTTTTTAGTTAATAATTTTATGTGTTAAGTATTTTAAACCAAAAAAGTTTTTTTTCTTGCCAAAAAATGGACTTAAGATAAAAACTAAAGTCCATCGTTGTACAGCAACGATGTCTCTTAATTATTTTTTTTAGGGCATAAGATATTTGAGTTTTACTCATAGTTGCAAAAGTTAAATAATTTTTGGTTCCATACTTTGAGTGATGACTTTTGTGCACCTATGGAGTATTTCAATCCAAAAAAGTCAATTTTCCCAAAAATGGACTTATGATAGTTTTGTTTTGCTGCGACGATATACTTATTTTAATTCCAACACACTCGAGCTCGATCCGATGTTGGCTTTAAAACAGAGTACCCTGTTCTGAACAATTCAGAAGTAATTAACTAAATACTCAATAAACCAAACTGAATAACTGTAAATGAAAAAAAAAATGTCGAAAAATAATTATAATATTTCAATAAACATCAGGTTAAAAGATGTTACATGATGTTACATTGATCTTAAAACAAACGTATAAATTAAAAAAATAATTAAAAAAACAAACAAAACAGATTTAGCATCATTTTGACGTTACGTTATTTCAATAATGCCAAATTACCCTCCAAGTTTTTTTATTATTTTTTTTTAGTTAAAAGAATGATATAAAGTAGTAAAAGAATATATACATTCAATATTGAAACCAGACCGTTATAACTAATAACCACTAAGGACAAGAGTAAATGTGTTGTTGAGAAAGAAAATATTAAGAGTAAAAGCAAAAAATAGTTTAAAATATAGTGTAGGGATTACAGGTAAGTCAAAAGTTTATTTAAAATGCACATTTAGCTATATGCTTTTTCGAGGTAATGATAAACTATAAACTGACATACTTTTATGGTTAGAGAGTGTGTCAATTTTCCTTTTTTTTTTTTTGAAATTGTAAAAAGAGTAGTTTTTTATTTGTGGGAAATAGTATTTAAAAAAACATGAAAAAAATGATAAATTTGAAAAAATTATTTTGTTGGCTGGGTAATTTTAACTTTGAAAAATTAATTGCCCCCAAATAATCACAAAAAAAATTTTTTTTTCTAAAATTATGTCAACCTGGGTATCAAAAAAAGCAAAGGTTTTAGATTTTAATGAAAGAAAATTAACTGGATCATTTTCTAAGAAGATGGGTTTCCTTAAAAAAAACTCTAATTTTTTTAAAAAATAAATCCTTATCTACTCACGCTTCTTTTGATAACTCAGGTTGACCTAATTAGAAAAAAGAAATTTTGAAAACACTAGTGTGTAATGGACTTTTCCAAGGCAATGTTACCAAGCTTAAAAGTTTTTGTTTCAAAATTATTATTGTTTCCAAGTTTTAACATAAATAAAATTTACTCTTTTTACAATTTCTAAAAAAAGGGACATTCGACCTATTTTAAGGTAATTTATATAGGCCTACTAATTTTAAGACAGTATAGTATAATTGTATTATAATATATTACATGTACATACTAATAGTACGTAAAACAACTTAATGTGGTTTTTGTCATTATAATTGCAATAAACCGTTTTCTAAAATTGCGTGAACTTCTCGCAGGTAATTTGTTTCCAAGGTGTAAAATTAAATTACAACTATATTTCCAAGATATAAATACGTACTTACAACTTTAACTGCATTAATGAGGTTTGATTCAATTACATCCACTGACGCAGTTTCAAACTCATTACCTCTGAACAAAAGAAACACATCTGGTTCAGAATAAACGGGATGAACAAATCTATTTACAACTCCACGAATATTGTCTATGCTAGTTTCGTTTACTGGATCTCCGCATGTAAGCAAATGAGACTTGAAAATTTCATACGCAGGAGCCGTAGAAGAAAACCTAAATAAACACTTTTTAGAGATAAAATTGAATAATGTTTTTTACTTTTAATCTTAATATTTTACAGAAAAAATAAGAACCTGGAAACCTGAAAATAAATTTCTAGCAATTTTTAATAAAGGAGTAGTACATAAAATAAGATAACGATCACTACTTTTTAAACTATTTTTTTGTTTCCATAACTCTTATGGCATAATAGACATTCTCGGAGCATAATAGACAGGAAATTTAATATAATCTTGTAATTTAAAAAATATAAACTTTTAGGTTTATTCATATTCCTCCTGCCTATTTAGCAACTAAGAGTACAGCAAACGGGAGAAATTTATGCACCTGAAACAAATTTTTTTTTGTTTAAAAATAAATTTTCATAAAGTGATATCTTTTTTCTACTTCATTTTTTAATTTAATTTTTTATTTTGTTTTTCACATTTTATTCAGTTGTGCGTAATAAAATACACTACCAAAATCTTCAGAAATGTCAAATGCAAACGATTTTGGAGAGCTTACGTTGAACTAGTAGTCGTCTTTTCATTAGAACTAAACTCAGAAAAAGAATTTTTGTTTAATTTAGATGCAGGCGACCATGCATCAACTAGCATTTTAAAAATCGGATCTTTTTCTAATGTTACATTTTGCTCTCCAACAATTTCATTTAGTCTTCCATCTTCAAGGCGCCAATGCGTAGCCCCTTTTACATTCACTGTGAATGTGACCACTTTAAGGTAAACAACCCACACCACCAACCACAACAACTTTGCACAAAAATTCATTTAAAAAAATAAGTCAAAGTATATAACTCAAAACTGAAAAAATACGCATCATTTGTCGGTGTAAACAAGTTTTTTACTAAAAGCGAATAAATGAATAATTGGATGAAGAGCATTATGAATAATTTATATTTCAATACGTAAAACATTTATTATTAATTAGAGGTGATTTGATTCGTGAATAATATTAAAGATACTTAGTGATTTTTTTTGCAAACACATATAAAACATTTCTTTTTAAGTTAATGAGTATGTGCGCGTGTATGTGCTTGTTTGTTTGTGTTCACGTGTGTGTGAGAGAAAATGTTTGAGTGTTTGCGTGTGTATAAGCGCTTATGTTACAGTTTTTGTGTGCATGCATGAGCATGAGTTTGCCTGTGAGTAAGAAAAAAGGTTTTTGAATTGTATTACTATTATTTGCAGTTACACTTTTTAAAAGTAAATAGCATTAGTTTAGAGGAAACAGCTAAATATAATTTCTTGGTTGCTTTTTTAATTTTTTATTTATTTGTGTTTTATATTTAAAAAACATCACTAATTTATTGCTGCGTAAACGGTTTAACAATGCAAGACCGTTGGTAAACTTTTTTATCTATAAAATTTTGAATGTTAAACTGCAGCTTGAGGTGATTTGATTGAAGACATGTTTTATAAGCGTTAGCAAAAAAAAACTACTAAGTATCTTTAATATTATTCACGAACCAAATCACCTCTTTTTAATATATATCAGCTCGATGTTTTTAATACTCTTTGTTTTATGTACAAATTTAAAATAAATTCCACCCCGGTTTCTTTCCATAATTTATATACCTTGAAAGATAAAAATAAATACAATTTGAGAAATGACAATTTAGTTCGGCAACCTTTTTATCAAACTACTTTGGGAAAAGCAAACATTTTATTTCGAAGAGCTTCTCTTTGGAATAAAATAGTTCTAAAACATTTTGATTTTTCTTTGGAATGTAGTTACTTCTCATTTAAAAATAAACCTAAATAAATTATTCTGTCTCTGGACAATATATTTTTTATAAACGCTCAAAAAAACTTCATGTGTTATTTGATGTATTTTATGCTCTCAAGTTTTAATAGAGATAAACAACTATATTTGATTATGACTTATTGAGATTCTAAATTACGAGCGGTTCTAGATGACAAGACCTGACGGTCTTCTGCGAGTCTCCGCGTTCTTTTTATAAAATTAAATAACCGTATAATAATATTATATTTTACTAAGTTCTTATTGTATGATTTTATTATTTAAATGTTAACAATTTTATTGTACAACGATTTACTAAAATGTTTAAGAAAAAACAAACAAACAAAAAAAACAAAAAAAAAAAAAAGCTCATTCTACTACTTATCTCTGCGGCCAAAAAAACTCAACTTTATTAATTTATATCATGTTTAATATTATTTATATAATGATTAACTTTGTAATAAAAAAACTTTTAAGAAACGGTCTTTAAAATAAGCAATTCAATAAGTACATTAAGAAAAATTATACGTTTTATTTGATTATAGTGTGTATTAGTGAAGATATGCTGTAAAGCAATTTTTTTTTTAATTCATATATTTTCAAGACAAGTATTTACAAGTTTTTACAATACATAATATATTACAACAAATACATTCAAAAAAAAAATACTTCTTATAATACTAGAGACATCAAAATACTTGAGATATATTTGAGGTAAGGAAATTAAAGTAATATTACTAACTGTATTGTGAAAAAGAAACGGGATAAAAATAAGTTAGCTTAAATTTTGTAGTCATGGGAAAACTCGCAGAAAACTGTGTAAGTCTTGTCATCGAGAACCCTTATCATTAATTTCATGAAATACTATATTATTGTTATAAATACTATAAACAAGTTAATTTCACTTTTTTTTTTAAGTTTTTCCTATTTTTTTTTTTTTTTTTTTTTTACATTATTATTTTTCTAATTATTCATAATAAATTAGAATATTTCCATGTAATTATTTATTTCTTGAATGAGTTTTTTTAGTTTGGCTTTTAAGAAATTAATATTTTCTACAAGAAATACTGGTGAATTTTTTGGAAATAATTTGTTATATAAGTAAGGACCACGATAAGCTGCAGAAAATTGGGAGAGTTTTCGTTTTTTCATAGACACAAGATAGTTTCCAGTTGCTCTAGTACTAAATTTATTTATATTAGTATTAAAAAAGTTGTTTTTAAATCGACTTGGGACGATTCCCATTCTATGTTTGAACATAAATAATATATTTTGATATATGTTAATTTGGTAAATGTTTAAAGCATTCATCTGTTTAAGTAATGGACTTGCATGAGGAAGCTTATCTTTATAAAATATATCTATCTAGAAGCATATTTCTGCCGTCGATGTAGTGAAATTAGCTTACTTTTATGGGTACTAGACAATGCAATATTGGCGTATGATAGATAGCAGTGTATAAATGAAAAATTAAGTAATTTTGAATTATCGTAAGACAGATAAGGTCTTGCTTTAAAAAGTAGACCAATGTTTTTTGATATTTTTGTATTAATAGCGTTTATATAAGAATTCCAAGATAAGTTCTCATCGATAAGTACACCAAGAAATTTAGATGAATGAGTTCTTTCAATAATTAAGTTGTCTATGCTGAGAACAGGTAAGGTTGATAGTAATGATTTTTTTTTATTGTTGGGATGAACTAAAATGTACTTGGTTTTGTTTGAATTTAATGACAACTTATTAGCTCTGAACTATAAGTTAAGTTTTTGTAGTTCTAAATTTACGCTTAAAATAAGGTTGTTGATAGAATTTGAAAAATAAAACATATTGGTATCATCTGCAAAAATTATGTAATCTAATTTGGATGAGACTTTAGGAAGGTTGTTAATGTAGATTAGGAATATTTTTATTAATAATTATTTAGAAACGACATTTGAAACCGGTATATTTATGACAGATATTAGTGATCATTTCCCGGTATTCATGAAAACAAAAAATCTAAAAGCTATGACTGATTGTCATTCAAAAATCATACATTTGAAAAAACGAAATTTAAAAATGAGTAACACTAATAAATTAACAAATAGACTAAAACAAGAAACATGGAACAACGTATATAAATGTCAAGATACAAATGGAGCTTACAATGCTTTTTTAAGTACATTTTTGGAGTACTTTAATGAAACCTGTCCTCAAGAGAATATAAGAATTAAGTCAAAAGCAATTGCTAATCCGTGGATGGATAAATCGTTATTAAAGTGCTCAAAAAAAAAGCAAAAACTTTTCAATAAATTTCTGAAAAATAAAAACAATGATAATGAAAAAAATTACAAAAATTATAAATATTTTTACCAAGATCTCATTAAAAATGCAAAAAAAAAAATATATTACAGTAATCAAATTAACAAATGCAAATTTGATTGCAAAAAAACATGGTCCATCATCAATGTCTTAATGGGAAGAGAAAAACTAAATTCACCTTCTCTACCTAAACGAATTGTTATTGAAAACAACGATATATTTAGCCAAAAACAAATTTTGGAAGAATTTAATAAATATTTTACAAGTATTGGTCCAAATCTTGTAAAAAAAAATAGTACCAACATCTGTATCATTTAAAACCTTCCTTAAACCAACGAATAATGTTATCATGCTTGATTATGAATTAACCTATGCGGAATTTGAGGCAGCTTTTTCCTCGTTAAAAAAAAAAAGGCTCCGGGATTTGATGAAATATCTAGTAATATAGTTATTGCAAACAAACACAGTCTTAAAAGACCTCTAATACATATACTAAAGCTTTCGTTAAATTCTGGGATATTTCTGGATGTACTTAAATTAGCAAAAGTAACTCCAATGTACAAATGTAATGATCATTCTGACATTACAAACTACAGGCCTATATCAGTACTTTCTGTATTTTCAAAACTATTCGAACGTGTAGTTTATAATAGAATCTATGATTACTTCATTAAAAACAATTTTTTTTACCCAAATCAGTTTGGTTTTCAAAAAAATCTCTCTACTGAGCATGCAATCATTGAAATAGTAAATCAAATAACTAATGGTTTTGAAAATAATAAATTTACTTTAGGAGTATTTCTTGATTTATCAAAAGCATTTGATACAGTGGACCACTGTATTCTCTTAGATAAATTAAGACATTACGGAATAGTTAATAAAACTTATTATTGGATTAAAAGCTATCTTACAAACAGAAAACAATATGTAAATAATGCCCAATCTGGAGTGTTAAATGTCGTATGTGGAGTTCCGCAAGGATCGATTATTGGTCCACTTCTTTTTTTAATATATATAAATGACTTCTGTAATGCATCTTTAAAACTTAATTCAGTCATGTTTGCAGATGACACGAATTTATTTCTTACCAACAACGATATCAAGAAATTATATGCGGACATAAATATTGAACTAAATAAAGTAAATAACTTGTTTAAGGCTAACAAACTCTCACTTAATACCGAGAAAACAAACAATATACTTTTTCATAAAAAAACACAAGAAGAAAATCTTCCTCTCAAGTTGCCGAACCTATTTATAAATGATAAATTAATTAAAAAGCAATCCAATATAAGATTCTTGGGAATCGTTGTTGATGAAAAATTATCCTGGCTTCCTCATATAGTATTTATCCAGTCAAAAATTACCAAAATCATAGGTTTAATGTATCGAGTTCGCTCGTACATTAATACAAATAGTTATAAATTAATCTACTTTGAGCTAATTCACAGCCTCATCAGTTATGCAAACGTTTCATGGGCAAGTACTTAAACAGCAAAGCTTAAGAAACTTTATAGTTTTCAGAAACATGCTTGGAGAATCATTTACTTTAAAAATAGGCGGGAACACGCTAATCTCTTGATGAAAGATATGAAAATGATGAATGTATTTGAAATAAATATCTACCAGCATTTAATTTTCATGTATTGTTACAATCACAATATCTCTCCTATAAGCTTTAATAATAAGTTTGAGTTAAATAAAAATGATAACTATAATCTTAGAGCGAATATGTTAAACACATATAAACTGCCAAGGATAATAAATAAATATTCAAAATACAGCATTTTATATAG